ACAGAGAAATAAACTGGTAAGTCTACACATATTGTTTTAGCCATAGATGATAACATTGCTGATCCTGAATATTTAATTTCTTTCTGATGAAACTGTTACAATTTTGTACCTGATTCTGCTCATACATAATGAGTCCTCACAGAATAAGTAGTCCAATAACCCCAATTTCATAATTCTAATTATTTTCAGAAATGATCTGTTAAAAGTATTCTAAACACTTCAAACTGCAAGGCATGCATCGTCACGTTGGGACCATAGTCTCTCTTCCTAATGCAACACGCTTTTTTGCACACATTTCTTAAGAATACCCTCAAGAGGAAAACACCTCTCATGCGCTGTTTAACTCACCTGGATATGACATTAACAAATCCAATCTAATTCTGAAGTCCAATCAGCCTTAAAAGCTGGTCAGAAACCTCTGATGAGGTGATCTCAGAGAGTTCCATGTAAGCTAAGGCATGCTGTAATTCTATTTACACCTGGTTTATAAAACACAACTTCAAGGTGGTTTAATCCAAAGTGTTTAGGAAGAATTGAGTCCTTAAAATGACATGGAAGAAAACATTCCACAGTCATAATTTTGTATTTTTCACCAACTAGCTTCTCTACTTTCAGGCTAGCCCATGTACCTAACCCTGATATTTACCTGCAGTTAATATCAGTGAGAGTTCTCGCTACAGAACCAGTCAGAATGAAATGAAATTGAAGTTCAAATTGTGCTGTATTTCAGTGTTATTTTTTTTTATCAATAATAGTCTCTTACATTCCAGAAATGTTCCTCTAAGGAGGGATACTGCAGGGATAAACTATCGTAAGCCTTTAATTTTACTTTATTCAAAACTGTTGGTATTTTCAGCTTTGTTTTTGATTTTAAGAAAGGTTGCTTTACAAACCATCAGATTTCTTTTAATTTTCATGTACTTTTTCCTTTGCTTTTATGAACTCCTTTTTTTTTGAGTGACACTACTCAAAAATGCCAAAGATAATAAAGAAAACTGAGAGAAAAAAAACCTCTCAGTTCCCAAAAACAATATATACTTCATATAATATTTAACTTAATTCAAATGAATCTAAAAAAGAATAGTCAAATGTTTTTCAAAAAAAAACAATGAACAGAACTGTTGTACTCAATACTATTCTTGATAAAAAGCATACAAAAAACTCTACCATATCCCAAAACTCTTAATACTCACTGAGTACATTCTGCAGTTTTCCCCTTGCTCTGATAATCCATAATACATTGTATTAGGTGGTGATTCTCATCTAGCATCTGCAAAAAAGAAATGTGATCGTAATGGTTAGTATGAGAAGCAAATTAAAGTTCATTGGTAAAAAACAGATTCAAGTTCTACCTTTTTTTGCCGTTTTGCCGGAGCAGATTCCCTTAGTTTATTTCTGGACTTTCTCTGTATATGCACATGGTAAATGATGCAGTTGAAGAGCTGGAAGTTTTGTTTTGTTCATGTATCTTTGATCACAAGTATATTTGTTATTTATCTTTTATGTACTTTTAGAACCGGAGGCTATGCCTTTTAAAAATATTTCCACTCTGTCCTACAGGTGACCAGAATATAAACTTACATAATGCTATTTGTCATCAATCACTTTGCTATAGTTTGGTATAAAAGGTTTTTAGCTGGAACAGTTTTGGAAACACTCTAATTCCTAGGTGCCAGACAGAAATTCATACAGGTAAATTACATGAGATGAATTTGATCCCAGTAGTTCGGGAGAAAATGCATTCTCAGCTTAGATTGCACCAGTCCTCAGATCCAGAACATGATGTTACAACCATTAACAGACAGCTGTGTTTAAATGTTAACTTTTTACTGAAACTGGAAAGTTTTCCTTACTTTCTTCTGTCTGTTGTCCTCAAAGACAAGAAACATCTGTGACAATTGTAAACCCAACATTTTATAACAATATCTCATAAACCTGCTTCATGAGTATTGGGAGCAGGCTGACTGTCTTCTAATTCCAGAAAATTCTGACCTGATACAGTATCTGACATACAGTAATTTTCAAAGTTGTCAGCTCAGGTGTAACTGTGGTGATGAGACATGTTTAAAATGAACTGAGTCCAGACACTCCACCTTTCCTGAACTTAAATCTCCCCCATTTTCAGATTTGACAGTGAGACATTTACCCCAAGACCCCAGTCTCGGAGAGCTCATGTACATTGAATGTGCATATGCCCCGGCCCTAGACCTCAGTGCCTTTGCACACACATTCCTGCACCTTTGCTCAATCGGGTTGGCCTCAGAGCAGCCTCCAAAGAGCACCGGAAGAGCAGGACTTGTGTGTAGGGACTCCAAGACTTCTGGACTCCAAGAAGACGGATAATTCCTAAGGCAGATGGACTTCACTTAGGGGCTGACAGCCTCTCACTCCTTCTGCCTTGACCTCTGTAGCGTTTTTCCATCTTTTTGTGCAGCTACTCAGTGGGCAAAGCAGACAGTGTGGTGCTAAGCAGCCCACTACAACACTGAAAGTGTTTCAAACGCAGCTTATTAAAGCTTATTAAACGCCGCTTCTACAGTTACCTGAAGAACATTTTTTGCTAAGGGAAAAAAAAAAAAAGGAATAAGGAATAATCCTGATATCCTGACATTTACTATGAAAAAAGAACTGGTTTCTAATCTCCTTTACATAGGAGAAATGGAAAAGTTAACTTGATAAATAGTCCTAAAGTAACATACCAGCATATGTTCTTGAGACAAGAAATGCTTTTACATGTTATTTGTAAAGAAGAAAGCAACACTTCCAAGCTTCAATAAAGTTCATCAATATAAAAAAAGAAAGCAAGCTGCCCTTTAGGGATACTTTACATAGTTTGTACTATGGAACTACTTATCTGAACTATGAAATTCCCTCCTAACTCCCCAAAACTCTGGCTAAACACAGCGGCTAAGAAAAACTTAGCCACTAATTCTGAAATATTTTAGCATTCAAAATCAGCTGGGTCAGAATACTACATGGGCTGCAAGATCTATACAAAATGGGATTAGTTTCCAAACAGTCTCTGGAGATTTAAGTCATACTCCTAAATCTCACTTGTGGCAGTTTGTTCTGCCTTAATCTCTGCTCTGTAACTGCCTTCCATTGAGATTTGCTCATTTTTTTTTTCCTCATAAATTGGCAGCAAGTAACAGTTTGACAGCAAAATGTACCCATGATGGGTTAGTTACCTGCAGGGTTGGCAAAGAGTCTTTCACTGGTCATCATTTACCAATGGGCCATACTACAATATATATGCATTACTCTCATCATATTATACAAAATGCATAAAGAAAATAGTTATATTGTGTAGAACACAATAACAAAAAACAGAGGATAAGCACAGATGCCATAGTGGTCACAGTAAAGCATGCATGTTCTTTATTGACATTTCCAGCCTCTTTCATTATTTACAGTTACAGTCTGCAGAAGGGAAGGGGTGCTGGGCTCGTGTAGATATTCCCTGCTGTCAATCCTAGGAAATAGGATAACAATAACTTCCAAACTAGACAGCCTTTCCCTTGGCCTCCGTATGAAGCCCATGTGGAAAGCCAGCGTGCAATGCAAATCTTTAAGAACCTGTATCTTTAAACAAATGCATTACATATAATAATAATTATAGCATATGAAGCATAGCAGTGATGGGTGCTCCCTCTGTCTTCTAACAGATTGCCATTCTGCACCCAAATACAAAAGAACCCCCTTGAGAATTCAGTATTCCATTTCATTCTTTCCAGTGTATTTATTTTTCCAGCCAGGAGCTGACACGCCGTGCGAAATTAAAAACAGGCTGTGCAAATTCCATTGCGATTTTGCAAATTTCATTGCAATTCTGCAAATTCCACCGCAATCCTGCAAATTCCGTTGCCATTTCCCGGTGCATTAGTGGCAGTATCTCCCCCCCTCGCAAGGTGCCCGTCTCCTGCTCGCTCCTCGCGGCGACCCCGGCAGCTCCGCTTTGTTCCTGCTCCTCCTCCTCCTCCTTCCCCCCTCGCTCTCGGGCTCTCCAGCTCCCGGATTCGCGGCTCCTCGCGAGCCCCTCGCACACGAGCTCGTCCCGCGGCCAGCGGGCACGGAGCACACGGCGCCCGTACAAAAACATGCTCTTTACCTTCTGGATAGTTTGCTGCGTGACCTCCCCTTTGCCTCTTGGGCGAGCAGAAGCAAAGGCAACCGACATGCTGGGGCTTTTTTTTTTTAACCTTTTTTT